AACACGAAAGACATCCGAATGAAACAGAGTATCAATCCAAGATTCCTCTTGTTTGTGTATCCGAATTTGGACAGAATGTTTTGCATCACAATCAGCTGCCAGATTCCAAAAATGACGAAGTATCTTTTTTGAGGAAAGACCTAAATTCATTCAAAGAATACATGAGTATTTAACCACATATTAAACATTACAGTTTAGTGCTTAACATTCATATATTTTTGGCGCAATCTTCTATTTATTTCTATCTTGTTAAGGTTGTGGGAGAGTTCAAGTCTTTGAGAACATTGATCAATGATAACTTCAAGATGCTTTCTTACTATCTTCAACAAAATCAGCAAAATAAAAGTTTACACCAGAGAAAGGAACCCATAGGGAGACGTGATAATGGTATTGACACAGCTGTCGGAGATAATGTTGAGGTTTAACATTTTTAACATCTTTAGCATATGTTCATATCTCTTGTTTGTTGTTATACTTAAATAATTGTATTTTAAAAGTTGTATGTATTCGACAAGCATTTAACTGCCTCACTAAAATGATAAATGTATTCGACCGACACATGTATTTAAATGTATTCAAATGTATGTTAACCTTAATATGTAATTGGAATTAACTGTTGTATTTAAATATATTTAGCCAAATTTTAATGTATTCTGATTTATTATGAGTCTAACAAATTAGCCGTATTTATATGTATTTTTCTGAATTCAGGTGTATTCAGTTGTATTCAACTGTATTATTCAGCTGTATTCAGCAGCAATCATTTATATGTATCTTTCAAGTTTAGTTAATACATATTAAAGAATACAAATTCAGATGTATTAAATAGGTTATATACATAACTAGTTAGAATTCATCGGTCTGTTCTCAACATTAATTGTATTCAGCTGTAGTCATTTGTATTCAACTGTATTATCCAGCTGTAGTCAGTTGTATTCAACTATATTATTCAGTTGTATTCAATTGTATTTGTATGTATTTAACTGTATTTTTGACTAAGTTACTACACTAACAATGATACATACGACTAACAGAAACCAGTGCTTATGCTCAATGTGTGGAGTCAAGAGGTGAGGGGAATACTACATCAGAGGTGACGTGCAACATACCACCTACAGGTCAAGAGGGTGTATCTACAGAATTCTATGTATCTCAATTTGAGCTGGACGACAAGTTTCTTCCCTGTCAAATTCCAGAAACTAGAATTGTGATACACAACAATGCAAAAAAAGCTGAATCAACCCCAGTACCATCTCATAGGAATCGACGACCAAGTAGATGGTATTCTTCGTCTTATGAGTCTAACTTCGACTCCGCAGGTTAGTGTTTTTATAAACTAAAGATTTATTTCCTCATGGTTTTTAAAATTAAAATTCTCTACTCACGAATTCAATGAACAACAGATACCTTAGTAAAGTTGATCCCATTTTTGAAAAAAGACACCCCTTTGAGGATGATTCAATAACGGGGCCACATCCTACATTAATCATTCAGGAATATAACAAATGGGTTCGTGATGGTATTCTCGCTAGACATGATCAGAGATGAGTTTTCCCCCGGTATGTGTATTATGTTTATATATTTTAAAAAATGTATATAATGTTTTTTTATATCATACTTGTAGAAATAATTTGGAAGACCATTACAAGAAGAACAAGTCAACACTTTATATACCATTGGATTTTGGAGTTGATCAAGTTAATTCAAAAAATTGGTTTTACCTTCTATCGTTTGACGGGAAGCTATAGGAAAACAACATAAGTTTTTCCCTTGCAACTCCACTATAATTTATTTATTTATTATTGGTTTGTCTAGTTCTATAGTTCTCAATTATACAATAATTAAATCTGTTGTATTTAATTATATTCAAGTGTACTGTAACAAGTTTTATTAGCGGAAAATGTATCATGTTTTAAACTGAATCTGTATGATGAATGCAATGGCATCATTACTCCTGAAGAACTGCTTTATTTTAATGTATTTTGATGTATTTTCAAATTTATTATATGTTGTATTTAACTGACTCATTTTCTTTGAATAACAACATATATTTGATTGTATTCAGATGTATTTTAACATCAATGAGTAGTTGTAATATCTGTAATATCTGCTGTAGTATTTTAATAGTATGCAAATGCTGTATTTTAACAGTTTCTGCTGTAATATCTGCTGAATTTTTACTGCTTTCAAACACTCTATATGATAACATCAATTGGTATTTATTCTTGAATATCTGCTGTAATACAGCGTATTCAGATGTATTTTTCTCTATTCAGATGTATTATTCTTTAATCCGTGTGATGTATTTAGCTGAGATTTCACTTGTCATATTTTTTTTCTTAGTTTGATTAATTGGACTCACACCATGTAATTAAATTTGTGTATAGCATATTGACGTCATATTCTACTATCTGAGAAAAAAGGGAAAGTACAATCAAACAAGCAACTTCAAGTATACAACTGTTGATTGTATATTCAAGACAAGACTCGCTGAAATTTTCGACAGGTATGCTGATACAGATAGTAATGCTAATGTAGCCAAAGAAGAGGATGTGGTATGTGAGTACATAAGGGGCTACAGATTGCTAGCTAAAGTACCTTGGCATACTGTGGATAATGTCTTGATACCAGTCAACTTGAAGGACAAACTACACTGGGTATTGGCTGTTGTCTCATTCAAGGAGAGATGTATCAAAGTGTATAACTCGTACAGATCTGCAGGTCATGATGCCTATGTAGCTTCTGAGATTGATAAGCTAGCTAAGCTTGTACCTCTATATCTATCAATCAGTGGCTTTTACAGAGATAGTCAAGGCATAGATTGGTCTACTTACTCAGCATACACTGACAAGTCACATAATGATCCTTTTGAAGTTTTTTTCATATCAGATCTGCCTCAACAGAAAGCTGGGAGCATGTAAGTATTCAATCATCATTCTTGTATGTTATATACAAATCTAATTGTATGAATTATTTTTAATTGTTTCAATCAATTATTTTTTAGGGATTGTGGGGTGCATGTTGCGGCATACGCAGAGTTTCTGAGCACTCTTGGTGAGATTCCACAAATAATATTTGATTCCAATCTACTCCGTCAAAGTTATGGCGCTCTCCTCTGGGACTATGCTATGCGGAAGATAGACGTTGATGCCATAAGCAAGAATGAAGCACCCTCAAAGATTGCTAGGCAAATCACGGAGTCAGATTCAAAGATGCAGATATTGTTAGAGTAGCTTTAGGTTAATGTAGTTTTTAGGTGAATACTGTTTTGAGTGGTTTTTTGGTGAAGGTGGTATTTAGTTAGAAAAACTAATGACTTTATCAACAGTGTTCGTGTATGACAGTTGCAACTTTTTAATCGTTGTTTCACTAGTTTATTCATAAGTATTCATGCTTATTCTTCAGTTTATATTCATATGTATCTTACAGGATTCAACTATGTATTAATATTCAGTAACTTTGCTTGAACAGGTTTTAGATATTGAACGGGTTAATATCAAAGTCAGAAACTTTATGTATACTGATGGTAGGTTATATTAAAGAATTCAGATGTATTTTTCTGGATTCAGGTGTATTCAACTATATTATTCATTTGTATTCAGTTGTATTCAACGGCATTCATTTATATGTATCTTTCAAGTTCAGTTAATACATATTAAAGAATACAAATTCAGATGTATTAAACAATTTATACGTATTCAGTTGTATTCAGCAGTAGTCAGTTGTATTATTCAGCTGTAGTCAGTGGTATTCAATTATATTATTCAGTTGTATTTTTCTGTATTCAGTTGTATTCAGTTGTACTCAACTGTATTATTCATATGTATTTCTCTGTATTCAGCTATATTCTTTAATATGTATCTTTCAAATTCAGTTAATATATGTTAAAGAATAAAAATTCGGATGTATTAAACAGGTTATTGTCTAGTTAGAGAATACAAATTCAGACTTATTGAAATTGTTATATTACAACTGAGTATATAGATGTATTCCGATGAATTCTGACTAGTTATGTATATAACTCAGGCACTGTCTATAATAAATTGTCAAAATATATGTGGACAAAGTTATATTCGATTGTATCCAACACATTAAGGTAACTAAATGTATACGGAATCTATTCACGAAAGTCATTTCAAAAATTATTACTTGACAATGAGAATTTATTACTTGACAATTTATTAGTATGTATTAATATTCAGTAACTTTGCTTGAATAGGTTTTAGGTATTGAACAGGTTAATATCAAAGTCAGAAACTTTATGTATACTGATGGTAGGTTATATTAAAGAATTCAGATGTATTTTTCTGGATTTAGGTGTATTCAATTGTATTCAACTGTATTATTCAGCTGTATTCAGCAACATTCATTTATATGTATCTTTCAAGTTCAGTTATTACATATTAAAGAATACAAATTAAGATGTATTAAACAGGTTATACGTATTCAGTTGTATTCCGATATAGTCAGTTGTATTCAACTGTATTATTCAGCTGTAGTCAGTTGTATTCAACTATATTATTCAGTTGTATTCAGTTGTATTTTTCTGTATTCAGCTGTATTCAGTTGTACTCAATTGTATTATTCATATGTATTTCTCTGTATTCAGCTATATTCTTTAATATGTATCTTTCAAATTCAGTTAATACATGTTAAAGAATATAAATTCAGATGTATTAAACAGGTTATTGTCTAGTTAGAGAATACAAATTCAGACTTATTGAAATTGTTATATTATAACTGAGTATATAGATGTATTCCGATGAATTCTGACTAGTTATGTATATAACTCAGGCACTGTCTATAATAAATTGTCAAAGTATATGTGGACAAGGTTATATTCGATTGTATCCAACACATTAAGGCAACTAAATGTATACATAATCTATTTATGAAAGTCATTTCAAAAATTATTACTTGACAATGAGAATTTATTACTTGACAATGTCATCATAAGTATTGACAAATCGTTGAAGCACCAATACATGTCAGAGTGTTAACTATTTGTTACGTGGAGCATTTCTATACATTCGCTTGTTATGTCCTCCCCGTCCACATATGCTACATGAATGTTGATTTTTCGGCTGCAGCAATTCACTTAAAGGTTTATCGCGCTTCTTCTTTGGCCTTCCAGGAGGTCTTTTCCATTTGGGTGGTATTACAACCTCCTCTGCAACATGTGCCGGTATATTCCAGTCATTTCTGTCCGGTAGCGGATACACAAGCACATCGTATGTCATTACAACAGTATTTGATTTGTAATAGTTAAAGCAATATTCTTCTGGCATTAGAAACTTGCTCTTCAATACAGCCCAAGCATGTGGGCATGGTAATTCATCAACTTGGAACCTCCCACAAACACATTTTCTCTCTAACAAGTCGACTGTGTAATTCCTCCCTCCATCGTTAACCATATGTAAGTATTCAGTTGATGGTATCACCTACATTTAAAAATAAAAATATAAGTTTTGAGCACATATAACTGAATTACCATATGTATAATATTGAATTACTCAGTTATATACAACTGAAATATTTGCATACAGATGAATACATCATATATTTAGACCGGCAGACTGTCAAGTGTAATTACGTCTTATCTTATCAAAATATGCTGTAATTTAGGCAACTGAAGTGTAACAAAAATATTAGAAGGATACGGCATGACAATACATATTAAAATTATATATAATACAGATTTGTTAGTTGTATTCTGATGTATTTGAATAGTTTTGCAGCATATTTTTAGTTATATTCAGTTGTATTCATATCAGATCTTCGATAAAATATGTCTTGTATGTGTTTGAATTTAGTTGTATTCATATGTATTCATGGCAGTTGTATTATAAAAAATATTTGTATTAAGTTGTATTCATGTCATTTATTTCACAAAACAATTAAGCTATATAATACAATGACATTAAAATAAAACTTGCAGTCATACGTGTAGACATTGCCTCATTCAAAGTCAGTATCTCCTGTTATTTTTTTCCAAGCGTCGTGTATGTCTGTGTAGCTTCTTTGCGGTTACTACAATTTCAACGTCCAAACATCTTCCTAACTTCTTCGAGGAATTCGTATATTGGCAATTCCCTTGCTAAAACTAGTGCAGCATTGATTGACTTAGCAATATTTGATATCATTGACCATCCCCTGTTAACAGGTGCATACAACCTAACCCACTTTCCGTATCCAGCTAACTCTAAGTATACTTCCACCCTAATATCTACCTTATCCACCTTCTCCATCACAAATTCAGCTTGTGTGTATGCTTTTGCCATCGAGAAGTATATTTCGCTCAACTTGGTATGGCTCTTTTTGAATTTTTTATATACGTTGTTCCATAGATGCCATATACAAGCAAAATACGATACATTTGGATACACTCTCGATACAGATTTAATGATACTCTCATTTCTATCTGAAACGATGCACATGTTTTCCCTGTCACCGTATGCTATCTTGAATTGCTCAAAGAACCACGTCCAAGCAGCACCGTTCTCTTAATCAATAACACCATATGCTAGTGGCAATATATGACCTGTAAATATAATTGAATACATATTTTTAAAACATGTGTTTCAATCTTTAAAATATTAACAGATTGTATTATAATTCAGATACTCACTTGCACCATCCAACGTGCTTGCCGAAATGAAAGTCCCGGTGTAGTAAGATTTTAGGTGACTTCCATCCACAACAACAATGGGTCTACAATGATCAAACCCCTTTATAAAGGCATACAAAGATATATACAAGCACATGAATTTATTTTTTGGCGATTTTACCATTCTGATGTGGGAACCTGGATATGTCATATCCATTGTATATAAGTATCCTGGTAATTTTTTGTATGAATCAGCCGGTTCACCTCTCAAAATATTCATTGTCTTTTCTTTAGCCCTCCACGCCAACATGTAGCTAACATCTACACCTAAATCTGATTTCACATCATCAATAATATCCTTTGGGGTGTATTTCCTCTTATGATTAGTAAGCTTAGGCTTTATCATACCACCTATAAGGCTGCTACTTGCCTGCCGCTGCTCATACACCTTGTCCTTCAGCGGACATGTATGGTTATCAATGAATTCTGTCACTTTGAATAGTTCTGATTTGTTAATGCTTGAAGCCTTAAACCTCCATTCACAATCTTCTGAAATACATAATAATGCATAGCTGCAAAGAATTAATCATTGTATATATGATTAGCATAAGTGTTTACAAAAAAAATGCACTCATATACACACGAATACAATCTGACATGAATACATTCAGACATCTATCTATAAAAAATTTTATACTACTGAATTCAATTATAGTTATATGCATTTAAATACAATGAATACAACTGAATACAATTGTGGGTATATGCATACACTTAAAACCACAGTAGACAAAATAAAAAAATAATTAGAGACACTGTAATGTAATTATACCAGTAAAATACATATGAATACATGTATTTAAGGACCATAAACAAACATATATTAACTATATCAGTGCTAATCAAGATGAAATCCACAAATATGCATAAATACAACAACGTTAAACTTACAGCTCGAACCAATAATAGAAAATACAAAAAAAAAATTAAATACATGCAAACCTGACAGCATTAGACCTATCAACACGGAATTGAAACCTTTGAGATATAGCATAATTCTCCATCACCTCTTTCAATGTAGCCTTATCCTTATACACTTGTCCAGCCATAACCTCCCTTTGATTAGTTTTTGAAATTATCAAATCCTTGTGGAGTTCGAACACTCCAATTGCTTCTCCTGAATTGACAAAATCTAGAGCTAGTGTATCATCTGTATCGGAATCGTACCTTTGAACTGCTTCGTCTATTTTCACAATGTCGCCTTGATTTAAACTACCTCCGGAGACAAGTTCTTTTTCAATAGTTGTTATGCAAAAAGGATACATCCCAAATTCTCTGTTCTCTTTTTTCAATTCTACATACACTCTGTAACCCATATCATTGTGTATTTCCATTGGCGTGCAATTTCCTTCTACTTTGTATTGAATTTTAATGGACTTTGAGCTCAAATCTATGCCCAGTTGATTAGAAATTGAAGCAACTAAATCATTAAAGGACGCATACTCCTTTATCAGTATTCCCTCAATTGAAAAATCGATGTAATTGCCCTCATCGTTCCACTTGCCAGAATGACGCAACAACACTGTTAAACTTGCCATATGTATAAAGGAACTATACCGTATTTTGTATATAATTTATATCCATCTAATTTCTGTGGTTGAAATAATATCTGCGAACAGAGAAGAGGGAGAAGTGAATGGAAGAACTTCGAACAGATGTTGCTCTGCTTTTCGCTACTTTTTTTGAATCGTGTATGGCAGAATACAGATTAATGGGTACTACTTTTTGTTTGTTGAGTTAAATTAGGAGAATATCGTGTGATTTGATTTTCTTTCCGTTTTTAACTAGTTTAACTTTACAGATTTTACGCAGATACGTTACTGTATTCACGGTAATACCGCGTGAATACAGTTAAATACATATCAACCTTAGCTGGAATTCCTTTTTTTAACGCCTATTTTTTCTATTTTATTAATGAATACAATAACTTAAATACATAAAATACATTGTATAAAAATATAAAAGGTATCTATAACACGTAATATAGCAAAAGGTATCTATAAATGACTAATTAGACCTAAAAAATGGTGCTTTATGAAAAATTCTCTTGTTTATTTGACTAGATTAATTTACCTTCAATATTCATGTGTTAGTTTTCCATCATATTTATCGAGTTTATGACAATTCTTTGCAAAAAAGGGCTTCAATTTTTAAATCTTTAAGAATCAACCTAAAACGTCTATAGTGAACAAGCCATTTCGATCTTTCAAAAGCTAATAAAATATTACTCAAATTATGCACCAATAGATCAATGTCACGTCATTACAAAGAGAAAAAATGTATGTTAAATAAGATCAATTCAAATTATCTATCAAAAGAAGATTTGTATGAAGTAAGCTTTAATTGTGGAAACAAAATAATGGGTAGTGTAAATAAATTTAAAATAAAAAGATGAAGAAAAAGGAGATAGAAAGATACATATAGAAAGAGAAAGAGAGAGAAATTTAGCAACGATGGAGAATAAAAAGGAAGAAAGGAAAAAGGAAGAACGAGAAGTGAAGTCCTAGGGAAATAAAGGGGAAAAGCAGGAGTACTCAGCATATCATCAAAACTATTGTTCAGGAGATCTTCTATAGTGTCTGTATACGGTGAAAATCACGACTATCCGATTTAGTTCTTCGATGGAAAAAGTGATACCACGTTAGGAGGTCAGGATATCGAGTTCGAGGTCGATATCATTTATCGAGGTCAGAAGAAGGCATGCTTCGAGATAATACCTTTATGATTCAGTAACGGAAAGAGCGAGATACTCGCAACGGCCCGAAGATCACGACGTAAATTGTGAAATGGATTGGTCATGGCGGTTAGACAGCTGTCAAATATGATTTCCTACTGTAATTAGGACTCTCCTATTATATAAAAGGGGATCCCATTCATTTGTAACTCACGTTTTGACTTATAAGAAAATATATGCACACTATTCTCTAGCTATTTTACTTATTGTTCTTCAAAGTTGTTTTGTCATCATCATACCTCGAGGTTGTAACAGGCCGAGCTCGATATTTAGCTTACACACTGGTTTGGTCTACTTTATTCTTTAACTTATCTATTTAATTCATTGTGTATCCATTGGTATTGGATTAAATCACATATCTTTAAAACCACAATATAAGTTTAATTGTCACTCGAATTTTTATCATATTTCGTGTTTAGCCCGGGTCTGAAGTTAAGGAGAGAATGAGTTGTGTTATGCTGAAACTGTAATGTAGTTCTGCGTTGTAATACTTTCAGTTGGTTAATAAAAAATTTATTTACCAAAAAAATAAAAAAGAGAAGTGAAGTCCTAGGGAAATAAAGAGATGTCAGACTGTCTATACCAGGAATCGAACTCGCAATATAACAAAATGAAGGATTCTAGCAGCACCTAGAGCTGTGGGTGCCACTTAAAATATTTTATCTGCTTTGCCGCCCATATTTATGTACAAATTCAAAATATTTGCCGAAGAATGCCAACCCCATCACATAACTGAATATAACTAGTCTGGACCGCGGGCTAAAAGGTCGCCACTAAGATTTTATTCATATTTCTTAAAGTTAGCCCTTGAAAAAATTTCTATGGACAATGTTAACATTTGGTCTAATGTTTCCTCATATATTGCTCAACCTTACACAAAATATTAGTCTATCGTTTAATGTATACAATAACTTACAAATTTTTTGGCGTGGCCTAACGTTTCTCATTAGATTGCACAAAAGGAAATCTTTAGACCGTGGTCTGAAAGGTCTATATTCGCAAGAGAAATAAAAAAAGATCATATACTAATTATCTATCCCAAAAAGGATCATCACTATCCCATATCATGGGACTACCATCTATGTAGTGGGATTTTTTTTTGTTGCTTATTCCATTACGTGGCAATCAAACATGGATTTTCATGTAAAAAGCTTTGCTCATGTGACGTATTGAAGCGCATTGTAGTACATTAAAAGGGGAAATTATCAGCTATGTCACTATAAAAATTGGTTAATTGATAAAATATTATTAATATTAGCCAAATTAGCCAATTAGTTATTTGTAGCAAAAAAATATCAAATTTTTGTTTTCTTTTGAGTGGGTGCTATTAGAATAGATTGAGTATATCTTAACGAGCTTGAATCTCAGTTTTGGAATGATTTGGTAAAGTTTTTGAGGTGATTTGAATTGAAAAGTCGAAGTAAAACTGAATATAAAAAAAAGATACGTGTATCACGTTGTGTATCATTTGTGTATCACATATGTATCGTATTTGTATAAATTGTGTATCACATGTATATCCATGTATACCTGTGTGTGAGATACATGCGTGATACATGTTTGATATATGTGTCGCAGAAGAATTTTTTGAACTCGATTTAATTACGAATTTTGATACAAAACTAGTCCAAATCACCTCCAATCTTCCTCAAATTTTGTATATTGACTTATCTATATGTTTTCAATGAATTTCAACTATACTCATTAAAAAAATTCCTTTTTTGTTTAGATTTTTGGAATATTGTTTTTTTTTTGTATTTCATCATCTTATTTGCTACCTCATCCATGAAATTTCCTTCCCGTCTTGCATCTAATGTTGCTAATCACGCTTAAAATATATGAAATGTGATTTTTGCATGTGATTCTTTGAAAGAAAGAACCTTATTTATTTGATTTTTTAATTTTTATATATATTTGGCTAGTTTTGGTAAGTCTATGACTAATGGCTGGAGGTTGGTAAGTTGAAACTTATTTGGGATATTTGTATAAGTTTCCCCATTAAAAATGTTAAAACTAGAAAGCTGCAAGATAAATGTGGTATGCAAGAATAAAATTTGAAGCAAGAGTATCGTTGAGCATACACAACTTTGATTTTCACATTTTATGATGGATTAGATGCATAGGCGGATACAAAATTTTAAGTTTATGAATTAGGAAACATAGCCATTTTTATTAATTAGATTCTGAATAAATTATTTATATATATTATGTGAGTTTTTTAATATAAATATGGAATTTGAGCCAAAATTATTTTCGTCGGACCATAATTGAAATTTGAAACTGTAGCTCTTCCCTGATCGATCGGATGCTAGCTTTGTACTATTAAATAATACACACCTTTACAGGATGCGATTTCGATTCAAAAGATCTTAGCCACCAAAACCACCAAATAGTATACCAAATACCGTTGGTGGTAATCAAAAAAATGATGTCCCAATTAATCTATATATATACTATATTAAAAGCACGAAGGCCCTTAGCGAAATGTCGTTTGCTTTTTTTTACCTTTTAAAAATAAATTTTTCATTGGACAAAATTGTAATTGTATTTTAATTATTTACCTAATATTTAGGACTTTCCTTTAAGGTATCTAGAAACTCCTAATATTGAGGAACCTAAATTGAGTAAAATTTTACTTATAAATATTTTTTTCCTTATTTAAATCGTGTAACTATTTTCCTCAAATTTAACTCTTTCATGTTTACAAGTTTTAACACTTTTGGAACTATAACAAAGGACTTTTGCAAGTTTCTGCCTTCGTTTTAATTTTTGCAGGAATCATTAGCATGTTTTCAATGTTAATCCAAATTTTTACATGTGCACAACGAGTTTAAGTTGACTTATAAATTTGCTATTTTTAATATAAATTTTTTAATCATTAATGATGGACATGTAAGTTTTATTTTATGTCATCATTCAAATTATATTTATAACATAAAAACTTTAAATTTAACTAACATTTTGATATCAATCTTTATTTATTTGGATTATTCAGAGGGAGTTCTAATATTTAGAAATTTAATATCGAATAAAATTTTAACTTATATAACTTATTTTCTTCTCTGAATTTCGTAAAATAATCTTTAGCCAAATTCATATCCAAAGAAGAAAATAAAAAATTTAAATTCAATTCCTTATTTATCAAGATCTAATAACAATCGTGAATATTGAATATCACCAAACTAAGTTGCACACATTTTAATAATTTTTTTTTGGATCAAAGAATGATCGAGAATATCAAGATATATTATCTTCTTCTTTGGTTGAAAAAGTCAATCAAAATTATTATATCATCAGTTCAAATGAGAAAAATGAGTTTGGATATAATGACGAACAAGGAAACCAAAAATAACAAAGTCAACAAAGAATAAGCAAAAAATTATTGTTTGGATATAATAACTTCGCCTTTTTACCTTTTATATGTTGATTCATACTGGACTAAATTATTATTTAGGTTATTTTTTAATATTTAGGAAGTTGGAATCCTAATATTTAGGAGTTTGAAATTTTAAAAATAGATTGATCATTAATGCTTCTATATTTTAACTAAGTAAAAACTACTAATATGTAGCAACTCAAAATATATATAAATTTCTAGCCCAATATTTTGAACTTTATAAATATTTCTAAAATATATTACTTACCAAGTTGCCCTATTTATACCAACCACTCGATTTTCTCTTCCTCTTCTAATTTCATAATGCTTATGAATATTCTTTATAATGTTTGGTGATGCAAAGTTAGTATAGTCCCTAATTTTAGTGATGTAAAGGTTAAGCCTCAAGGTCTTTAAAAGTATATCCT